TGTTGTTGTTGTTGTTGTTGTTGTTGTTGTGCTGGAGGACCGTTCCTAGAGAAATCCCACTCTAGGCATTTGTAGGTCCTCCAGCATGATTCTTTGATCAATTTCTGGCAGATGTTGAGCACAGAATTGCGCCGGAGGACCTGGAGATTCCTAGAGAGGTGTTCTCTCAGGTAAAAAGAATAGTGTTTTTTCATTTGCAGTTTTTCCATGTTCAGGGGGACCCTTCACTTCTAACCCCAGCCAATGTGGAGGGACCACTGTAAAATGTTTAAGGCAAAACAATTGGCTTTTAATTTCCCAAATAATGTCTGAACACATTTCAGACTTCACGTTAGATAGCAACTTTCAAATGTTGCATTATATAGGCATCTGGTCCAGGAATGCACTTTGGGATCTGCCAGGCATATACCTCCTGTAACATGGTGGCAAGGTCTTTGTGCAACACAATCGCTGACTCTTCCCACCGCCTGCTTTCAAATATTGTCCCTCCAGCAGCATGTGAAAGGGATCCCTCTATGTTTGGAAATACTTAATACCACATCAAGAAACAAAGTGACATGTGAAAGGGTAGGAAAGACTGCCCTCTATAGAATCAGACTTTCAATTTAACCTATGAAGATGACAAAGGAAAAGGTTCAGGAAAAAACAGAAACTATAGATAGTGATACTGGACATGAGACTGATAGACAAGAAGATAAGGCTGGTTGAACAACATTTCATTTAACAAAAATAGTATCCACTGAATTTTGGGATTGTCTCTTCTCAGTCACTAAATTAGTGAATTGCAAGACACCATAAATGAAGTCATATTCTGAATATATAAAACATTTTACCAAATATTTGTAATTTCTTGTTTTCAACTTTTGCCTGCTTCTCGTATACTGGCAAAAACTAGAAAATACTAGAATTCTTAGATAGCAGCAGTATATAGTGCCACTTGGAATAAAAAGACATTTAAAAGTTAATTCAACCACCAAATTTGTATTGCTATGCGAATAAATATTTGAAAATTTAATGTATCAAATCTGATAAAGGCCAAAATCTAATAAGTAATCCCAACTAAAGTAAGCCCAGTGAATAAATGGGATTTAATAAGGCTTGACTTACTATTTGGCAATTTATTCAAGCATCTACTCTACTTGGAACTAGAATTGGATTTAGGCCAATATCATTTACATTCTTAAAGTGACTTTACATCTAAAAAGGATGCTTTAAAAAGTATTACAAAGTTTTTCAATTTTTGCAAAATTTTCTGTTCTTACTGGAAATTTCACATCTTAGAAGCTACCTTTCAATTTCTAAAATCATTACAGCAGTTTAAAAAGAGGAGAGAGAGAGAAAGCAAATTTGTACTAAGGTCACGAGCTAGTAGATATATGTTACTAAGTAATAAATTCTGCATGATTGCTCTACTTTCTGATTGAATTGAAACCAAAATATTAAAATGGGAATGATTGAAAGAATGCTTTTCCTTTTCCTAAGCCTAAGAAAATCCTCTGAAATTCATGAGGTCAACATAAGTTGATAGGTAACTTGAAGGCAAATACACACATACACACACATACAAGTGAAGTACAGAGGGGCCATTGGTATCCTCTGTGGTTTCGTTCCAGAAGTCTAGGACCCCCTGTGGATATCAAACTCCATGGATGTTCAAGTCCCACTGTATACAGTATCATAGTAAATTGGTGTCTTTTATATAAAATAGCAAAATCAAGGTTTGTTTTTTGGAATTTATATATTTTTGGAATATTTTCAAACCATGAATAGCTGAACATGGAAGTCTGACTATAGTCCAGTATTTATTTGTTTTATTTTCTCCATATTTTAAACATTGACATTATCATAATGATATTTGAAGTGTGAAACATATACAGTGGGACCTCAGTATCCACAAGGGATCTGTTCTGGACCAGCACCACCCGTGGATACCAAAATCCACAGATGCTCAAGCCCCGTGGTTCCAATGGCAGTGCATGCATGCGGCTGTGTTGCCATTAAGGTCAACAAGATTTCATGAAGTAGGCACCAAGGGACTTGACAGGGGATGAGGAGCCAAAGGCCTCCTCCAACAAGGAGTTTCCCTCTCTTCCCCCAATATCCAGGGCAGCTAGGATCCCAACTCCATCGCCACTCCATTGGGCAGCTGAAGGGTTCCTGCTGGGCTGGGGTGTGACTGACCAAGAGCAGGTAGCGCCCCTTCTAGAAAGCCAAGTCCTCCCTGGTGCTGTTGCAGCTACCGCCGCTGCTCCCTTCCTCCTCCTCCTAGCAGTCCTCATTGTCATCCTCTTTCTCCTCCTTGCAATCGCTCCCGCTGCCCAAGGAAAGCACCTTCTGCTGGCAGCAGTGTGGCCCTCATAGCCCTGCAGGCAGCCGCCCCAATCTGGCAGAAGCAGCTCTTCTTCAGCAGTGGGAGTGACTGGAAGGAGGACGAGGATGATAACATGGAGG